CCACTCCTAGACCCCCTTTCCTCCCTGTAGAGACCCCACTCCTTTTTTTTTCCCCCTCACAATCCTCCATCCACTCCCAGACCTGCCCTTTCTGCCCTACAAAAACCCCTTTTCCCCCTTTCAACTCCTCAAGTTGCCCTCCACAATATTCCCCTCCACAATGTACCCCTCCACCCCCAGACCCTCCTTTCCACTCACAGAAGCCTTTCTCCTCTTTTCTCCCTCACAATCTCCTCCCCACCCCCAGGTCCCCTTTCCACATCACAGGGCTTCTAGCCCACCACAATCCCCCAGTTTCCCTCTTCCACCCTTTCTCCACCTCCAGACCCTCTTTCCAGCTCACAGAAGCCCCACTCACACCTTTCCCCCCGTAGATTCCCCACAACCCCCTGTCCACCCCCAGACTTTCTTTCCACCTCTAGAATCATAGAATCATAGAATCACCAAGGTTGGAACAGACCTAAAAGATCACCCAGTGAGGAAGACTGTGAAGCAAAACAGACCTGGCTGGCCTGAAAGGGTCAAACAGGGAACACGCGGCCCCTCCTGAAAGGGAAGGACTGCCATGTGAAACTGGCAAGCATAAGCTACAGCTTCTTCGTTCCGTGACCAAGAGCAGAACGTGTTCTGTGGAGAGAACACCTTTGGATCTCTGTACTGACCATCATCCACAAAGAGCTGATTAAGTAATGACGTCTTGCTGTCAGCTGCATGAATGCTATCTGATTGAAGTATTGTACACTCCTGTAGCTAAAAGATATAAAAGCCCTGTAACAACAATAAACTTTGCTTCTTGCGCCACCAGAGCCTCAGCCCGTCTGTCCCAGGCGTCTTGAGCTGCTCTCCGTCAGGGTTAGGGTCAGGGTTAGGGTTAGGGTAAGGGTTAGGTTTAGGGTTAGGGTAAGGGTTAGGGTTAGGGTTAGGGTTAAGGTTGGGGTTAGTGTTAGGGTTAGGGTTAGGTTTAGGGTTCGGGTTAGGGTTCAGGTTCGGGTTAGAGTTAAGGTTAGAGTTAGGGTTAAGGTTAGGGTTAGGGTTAGGATAAGGGTTAGGGTAGGGTTAGGGTTAAGGTTAGGGTTAGGGTTAGGTTTAGGGTCAGGGTTAGGGTTAAGGTGCTACAGAGACTAGCTTCGAGCAGGTAAAACTGTGGTGGGCAAGGGATCTGGAGTGAAGAAAAGTGGCCAAAAAAGCTCCTTTTTTAGACTTTTTTGGAGGCATCGACAGTGCTGTGCCTGGGCTGGCAGCTGGCAGCTTGTGGGCGGGCTCCTGACTCACCAGGGGCGGAGCTGACACTTCCTGCTCTTTATCTTTGAAGCTTGACCTTGGGCCATTTGTTGTGTGGATAAAAAGAGACCAGGGAGGGTGGGAACCGGTTCCCGCCCACATAACACATAGCACAAGCCAGAAGGTGTGGAAAGGTGCTCTGACCGCTTAGGGTGGAGGTAGTCAGTGTGTGAGGGCCACTAGCACTGCACTGCCCATTCATTAAGGCAGCAGTGGGGAGCAGAGGCTGTGTCTTGTGTCAGCACGGCTGAGTGCTCTTGTCTTTTTCTCAGGTGCCTGCTCTCCTGTTTTCTCAGGTGCCTGCTCTCCTGTTAACAGGCCCTGACACCACCTCTCCAGGCATGGTCCTCACCAGGAAACGTGCTTCCCGTGCAAAGACTGTGGCAACCCAGACAGAGGGTCTGCTCAATAATGTGGCGGTTCAGGTCTCTGGCTGCCGGGAGTGCCTCAGCCTGCTGCTGCCAGGGGAGGATGGGAAGGATGCCACTTGTGTGCGGTGTGAGCAGCTGGACGAGCGGCTCAAGCTGGTGGTGGAGCTTAGGGAGGAGGTAGGCAGACTGCGGGCCATCAGAGAGTGTGAACGAGAGATGGACTGGTGGAGTGACTCTGCGAGAAAGGCGCAGAGATTGCACTGCCCAGACTGAGGGGACAACGGACCCTATCTCTCATTGTAGTCAAACAGGGAGAGACAGCTTGAGAGAAGATGAGGAATGGCAGCTGGTCTCATCCCGGCGTCGCAGGCAACCCCCAAGTTCTCGACCTGCCTCGGTTCCCCTGGTCCCTCTCTGTAATAGGTATGAAACTCTGAAACCAGAGGGGGTGGTGACTGATGATAATGTGGGAGCACTGCCGCCAAGCTTGCCTAAGGTGAGGCGGTCAGCCCCGCGTTTAAAGACTGCCTCCTCCAAGAAAGAAAGGAGAGTGGTAGCTGTAGGTGACTCTTCTGAGAGGAACAGAGGGTCCGATGTGTCGGCCTGCCCCTACCCGTAGGGAGCTGTGCTGCCTTCCTGCGGCCCGGGTCAGGGATATTTGTAGAAAACTCCCCAGCCTTATCCGCCCCTCTGATTGTTACCCTCTATTGATAGTTCAGGCCGGCAGTGATGAGATCCCTGTTAGAAGCCTGAGGATTATAAAAAATGATTTTAGGAGACTGGGGAAGTTAGTTGATGGAGCGGGCACACAAGTGGTGTTTGCCAGTATTCCCTTGGTGGCAGGGACGAGCGCTGAGACGAGCAGGAAAAGCCATCTTGTAAATGCATGGCTGAGAGGCTGGTGCAAGCACAAGAATTTTGGGTTCTTTGATCATGGGGCGGTCTACTGGGCACCTGGCCTGAGGTCTGCTGATGGGAATTGCCTGTCTCCAAAAGGGAGACGGATACTTGCCCAGGAGCTGGCGGGACTTGTAGAGAGGGCTTTAAACTAGATAGGAAGGGGGAGGGGGATAAAGCTAGGCATGCTAGAGAGCAGCCTGGGGAAGTGGTATTGGGATTAGGTGAGAGGCGAGGGGCTCAGCTGGGGTTGGTGTCCCGTGGTACTGGTATTGTGTGGGGTGGTGGTGGGAGGTGCTGGGATCGTGGTGGGATGTGCTGGGATGGTGCTGGTTTGGTACTTGTTTGAGCTGGGATGGTGCTGAGATGTTCTGGGATGGTACTGTTATGTGCTGGGATGGTGTGGGTTGGTGCCTGCTGGTACTAGGATGGTGCTGGTATGGTGCTGGGATGTGCTGGGATGTGCTGGTATAGTGCTGGGATGGCTGGGATATGCTTGGATGTGCTGGGATGGTGTAGGATGCTGCTGGGAAGACACGCAGTGGTGCTGGGATGGTACTCGTTTCAGCTAGGATGGTGCTGGGATGTGCTGGAATGGTGCTGGGATGTGCTGGGATTGTTCTGCAATGTGCTAGGATGGCGTGGGATGGTGTTGGAAGGTGCTGGGGTGGCCCTGGGATGTGCTGGGATGGAAATGGTGTGTGCTGGGATGGTGTGGGATGTGCTGGGATGTGCTGGGATGGTATGAGATGATGCGGGAAGGTGCTTGGATGATGCTGGCAGGAGATGGGATGTGCATGGATGTTCTGGGATGGTGTATGATTGTGCTGGGATGTGCTGGAGTTGTGCTGCAATGGTATTGGTATGTGCTGAGATGGCGTGGGATTGTGCTGCGATGTGCTAGGATTGTGTGGGATGAGGTGGGAAGATGCTGGGGTTGTGCTGGGATGTGCTGGGTTGGAAATGGTACATGTTCAGATGGTGTGGGATGGTGCTGGGATGGTGCTGGGATGCTACTGGGATGCTACTGGGATAGTACTTGTATATGCTGCAGTGGGGCTGGGATGGTAATGGAATGTGCTGGGATGGTGCTAAGAGGATCTGGGATGGTACTTGTATGTGCTGGGATGGTGTGGGTTGGTGTCCGGTGGTACTGGTATTGTGTGGGGTGGTGCTGGGATGTGCTGCGATGTGCTGGGATGGTGCTGGGGTAGTAGTGGTATATGCTGGGGTGGTGCTGGGATCACAGAATCACAGAATCACAGAATCACACAATTGTAGGGGTTGGAAGGGACCTCAGAGCTCATCGAGTCCAACCCCCTGGCAAAGCAGTTCCTACAGCAGGTCGCACAGGTCGGCATCCAGGCAGGTCTGGAACATCTCCAGAGCAGGAGACTCCCCCACCTCCCTGCAGCCTGTTCCAGTGCTCCTCACCTCACTGTACAGAAGTTCCTTCGCACATTTGTGCAGAACTTCCTATGCTGCAGTTTCCAGCCGTTTCCCCTTGTCCTGTCTCCACTCACCACTGAAAACAGTCTGGCCTCGCCATTCTGCCCCCCACACCTCAGATACTGATAGACCTGGATCAGGTCCCCTCTCAGTCTCCTTTTCTCCAGGCTGAACAGACCCAGTTCACTCAGCCTTTCCTCATAGCAGAGATGCTCCAGGCCCTTCACCATCTTGGTGGCCCTCCGCTGGACTCTTTCCAAGAGATCCCTGTCTGTTTTGTACTGGGGAGCCCAGAACTGGACGCAGTGCTCCAGATGAGGCCTTACCAGGGCAGAGCAGAGGGGGAGGATCACCTCCCTCGACCTGCTGGCCACGCTCTTTTTAATGCACCCCAGGATGCCATTGGCCTTTTTGGCCACAAGGGCACACTGCTGGCTCATGGCAACCTGTCATCCACCAGGACACCCAGGTCCCTCTCCGCAGAGCTCCCCTCCAGCAGCTCATCCCCCAACCTGTACTGGTGCATGCAATTATTCCTCCCCAGATGCAAGACTCTACACTTGCTTTTGTTAAACCTCATCTGGTTTTTTTCTGCCCAGCTCTCCAGCCTGTCCAGCTCTCGCTGAATGGCAGCACGGCCTTCAGCCAATCCTCCCAACTTCGTATCATCACAAACTTGCTGAGGGTGGCCACCATCCCCTCATCAAGGTCACTGATGAAGATGTTGAACAAGACCGGACCCAGCACAGACCCCTGAGGAACAGCGCTGCTTACAGGCCTCCAACCGGACTCTGCACCACCAACGACCCTCTGTGCTCTGCCAGTCAGCCAGTTCTCAACCCACCTCACTGTCCACTCATCCATCCCACTCTTCCTCAGCTTTGCTATAAGGATGTCGTGGGGGATCTCTGACTGACTGGCATCTCTCTGATTAAAATACATTGTATTAAAATGGCCACTTAAATGACCACATGAAAGGAATAACAGCAAGGTTCGTTTTGTTTCAGTGCATTTGGCTGTACAAGGAGGTATCACCCAGGTGAAACTCCCTTCACTAGGAAAGCATCACGGACACAATGGTATCATGGAACTGCTGGGCTCTGTCCAGGTACACGCCTGGAACAAAATAACAATGAAAGAAAACTAAAAGGAAAACGAAAAGGTCAAAAGTAATCGTAGAATCATAACAGAAAGAGTCAGTAAAACCCAGAGCTCACCTCATGTCTCTGTTGTAAGCACACCCACCGTTGGCAGAAACCTCACAGCATGAAGGGACTTGTAAAGAAGAGCGCTGGTTTGGATTCGCTCTTTGCACAGCGGCTGGAAGAACTGTGCACATCTCCATTACTTCTCATGCCTGTGAAAGTCGTTGTCTCGACATCGTTGCTGCCACTGCTGGTTCTGTATTGAACATGAGAACACGTGAAACCCCCATTGACTCGGTGCCCCTAAGGATTAAATGTGAAATGGCAAATGGTTCAGTCGTGTATCACAATGGAATCTGTACAGAGGATACTACACCCTAGCCCACAACCCTAACTTTAACCCAAACCCTGCCCTAAACATAACCCTAACCCTGACTCTAAACCTTACTCTAAGCCTAGCCACAACATTAATCCTAAACCTAACTCCAAACCCTAACCCTAAGCTCAACCCTAAATCTTACCATAAGTTTAACCCTCAACCAAACCCAATCCCTAACCCTAACACTACCCAAAATTAACCCCAAACTCTAACCCCAACCCTAACTCTAATGCAAACCTGAAACCTTGCTCTAAACCTTTCTGCAAATACTAACCCTCACACTAATATTAACCCAACCTGAACATCAACCCTAACCCTGACCCAGTCCCTAACCCAAAACAAACACTAACCCTAATCCTAACCTTAATCCTAACCCCAGCTGTATCCTAACCCTAAATGTAAACCTAGCACTGAACCTAACCCTAACCCTTACCCTCAAACTTAACCGAACCCTAACCCTACCCTAGCCCAAACCCTAACCCCAAGCATAACCCTAAAACTCAACACTAACACCCAACTCTAACACTAACCCTAACCTAAGCTTTCACTGCCCCAAACCTAAAACTAACTCTAACCCTAACCAAGTCCAGCAAGCCCCCTTCTTCTCCATTTGTGGCCCAGCAAGCCCCCTTTCTTCTAGTTCAGGACCCAGCAAGCACCTTCTTGTTGCTTTGTGGCGCAGCACACCCACTTCTTTCTGGGTATGGACCAGCAAGCCCCTTCCTTCTGGGTTTGAGTCCAGCAAGCCCCCTTCCTTCTGGTTTGTTGCCCAGCACTCCCCCTTTCTTCTGGGTATGGTCTTACAAGCCCTCTTCCTTCTGGGCTCAGGAGCAGCAAAACCCTTCTCTATTCATTCCAGCCCAGCAAGGACCTTTCCTTCCGGCTTTGGGCCCAGCAATCCTCATTCCTTCTGGCGTTTGACCTTTCCAGCCTCTCTTCTTCACTGTTTCAGTAGAGCAAGTCCACTTCTTTCTGGCTTTGAGCTGAGCAAGCCCTCTGCCATCGGGGTTTCTTCCTGGTGAGCCCCCTTCCTTCTCAGCTTCTGCACAGCAAGAATCTCCCTGACGGATTTGCTGCCCAGCAGGCTGCTTTCCTGCTCCATTCTGCCCCAGGAAGCCCCGTTCCTTCTGGCTGTCTGCCCAGCCCGCCACGTTCCTTCTGTGTTTTAGTCCAGCCAGTCCCTTCGTTCTGGTTCCTGGCCCAGGACAACCCCTTTCTTCTGGGTATGGAGCAGCAAGCCCCCTTTCTTCTGGCTTTGGGCACAGGAAGGCCCACGTGTACAAAGGGACTGTAAAAAGCCCAAGCAAGCAGATAAAAATGCTTGTGCTGTTCCCACTGGACCTCGTGCCCGGTGCAGGAGGGAGCCACACCGGGCGAGAGAGCGCGGATCTCAACACCCTGTTGCTGCAAGGCCCTGTGATCTGCTGGGAAACGGGAAGAAGAGCGCGATACCACACACCGTGACAGCAAATGTGGGCCTGAACTGGTTGGCCACTGCCTGGCCAGCTCACTCAGATCAGCCACCAGCAGCAGCGCAGGAGTGCATTTGCAGCAGATGATCAGGATCGTTCACAGCTGAGCATCAGACACAGCACAGCACGGCGTACGCTACCAAGAACTTGAACAAACAGGATGTGTGAAGGGCCCAGGACTGCCACAGAGCCCAGGGAGGCTGATGGCTGCACCCTGCCAGCGAGGGGTGGACGGAACCTCGCGAGGCAGAGCTGCGCAGCCTCAAGTTAGGGATTGTTCCCAGCTCTCTGAGCAGCAGGGCTGTGCCTGTGGGCAGCGGCACGTGGAAAAGCAAAACTAATCGAGACAAAACAAACACACTGGAACTGAATTACAGCTTCAAGGAATCGCTGTTGACTACGAGCAACTGAACCCATGGCACAGCCCAAAATCCCAACAGTGTTACAAAAGAAGGCAGGCTGCCTGGCTGCTTTTCCACCCCGCTCAAGCCTTCACACAACGGAGGGGATACAGGTTTTAAGAACGGAGCCTTTATTCATGACACTGGAAAGATGTTTGAAAGCATCTGGTTTTCCATAAGGAGGAAAGGAAATCTGGCTTGCTACGATGCATTGATATAAAAATTGTGCCTCTAATACGAAAAAAAGGTTTGCATACTTGAGAGCACAGTACCATCAAGAATTCCTAACAGTATTTTTGACAGAATAGGGAGAACAAGCTCTCGTGGACAGAACTTAATAGTACAAAACAATCACAAGCATCCTACAGTGAATTCTGACCATTTGTGAGCGCAGTTCCAGAAAAGGACACTCTTGAATTGTCGTTCACACAGCGTTGGCTTCTACTCTGCCAGGTCTTAATCAAGCCTTGAAAGGGCTCCATACTCAAAGCACAACAGACCTGAGTTTGGGTGGCCTTGACCCTACTGCGAGAAAACTCCTGCAGTCAAAGTACAGTAGGATACAGAGATGCACAGAGATGCAGCAGGAGAATGCACCTGCTAAACAGCAAATCCAACACGCACACCAATTTCTGATCTACCACAGAGTGCTGTCCTGGGAGGCACTGAAAAATGACAAAACTACCATTTCTGTTCTCTGCTGCACAGCCATGCCAAACACGCACGCTGTTCTCTGCACACACGCTGCAGCCAAGGCCCCTGAGCAGAGCAAACGCTGCCTACAACACGTCGGGAGCTCCGCTTCCTGCTGCTGCCAAAGGCTGAAAGCTGGCTCTAAGAGCCCACAAATCAAACAGCTGTCAAAGAGGAGCCATCAGGCAGATAACAGCACGAACAAAATGAAGTCTCACACGCAGGCTGTGGCGTTCCCATGAAGTCACAGCTCCCCAAGAATCAAACGTGATCCTCTCTAGAAGTGTCGGGAAAGCTTGAGGCGTCGCTGCTGACAGCAGCCCTGCTGATTTTGGCTACTCTCACTACAGTCAAAAACTGGAAAAGCCCACTTTCAGGCAGGATCCATGCGGTGCTGCAGCCCAGGTGGGCTTTTTCTCTCCGTGAAAAGCCTTCACGTTAAGCTTACCTGACATAGGAAGTCACTAACTATCCTGTGAAACGTGGTACTCCTGAATCCACGAGCCTTTCTCCCCTGTGCACAGGGCCCTGAGCTTTTCAGCCGTCCGAGGGACAATGTGTGAAAGCAGCTCCGTGGCTGTGTGTCCTGAAGGTTCATCGCTGGCAGAAACGTCCAAATACACAACAACAGGGCCGGTGTCCTTTGACAGCTCCGCTGCCACAGAGAGCTGGCCCTTCTGCAGCTCTGACAAGCTCTGCTGGCATTCTTCAATCTGCTCTCGAAAGAATCAGCCAGTTCTACAGCGGCATCAGAACCATCACCACCATGGCTGAGGTCGCTGTGTTCCCTGGTAGCTTCCTCCAGCACAGCTACAGAGTTGGCACCACAAGGAGACGCTTTGGCTGCGTTCGTACCAGAAACATGAGCTGTTATCCACGTGCCTTTCTCACAGCTGGGCTCACTCTTGTCCCTGTTTGCTGTTTCTTGAGATTGGAGTGTAACTCCACCACCTGAGGGCAGTTCATTTTTGTCTTTTCCATCCATGTTTGTCAAGCCTGCTGTACGCTCCTTGGGCGGATCGTCTTCCTTAGCGCAATTTGTATTGCACTCCTCTATGCCAAATTTAAATCCACCTGGAGGCATCCACACTGAGAAGTTACATCTTCCCTCTGCAGGCTCCGCTTCAGCATCTGCCAGATTCTGAGAGGTACACGCTGGGGTTTTCCCATCGAGTTGAAAGGACAGTTCTTGAAGAGATACTGCTGAACGAGTTTTGTTTGCGTTCTGCAGGGCAGCACATTTTGGGGCAGCGGGTTCATTTCTCACTGCAGAGATGTTACAGTCCCACTGCCCTTCCTTTGTCGCAAAGGCGGATCCTAATGTGTCCTGTGCGGCACTGACACAGGACTCTGCAGGTTTTAAACCTGTGGGTGCAAACGCAGGTTTTAAGGTTTTAAGAAGTCTCACTGTTTAGCTAAGCGGTCAATTAAAAATCCAGCATCAACTTACCCTTCCAAGGAGCTTCACGAAGGTGTTGTGCTCTCCCATAACCATCTGACACAGTATCTGCTCCACAGCTTTCAGCAGGCCAGCCATGAGATGGCACGCTTACACTGCAACTGTTACGTTTCATTTCCCGTGTTTCATTCTGTTAAAGACAGGGTTTCAATTAAGAGAATGGAAACTATGAAACACAGGTATGTGGGGAAAACCCAAGGAATGATCCCTACGCTCCTTTGCTATTTAACAGCACGTTCAAGATCTGAGACAAAAGAAAAAAGAAGAGTTAACTGCTGCAATAATCCACGACCTGCCCATGCTTTACAAAACCGAGACTGTGCCCTGAAGCTAGAAATAAACCCAGAACCAAGATGACAACAGCTAAGCTGAAGAAAGCACAACTTTCTGCACACACAATCCTCAGCATTACTTCCTATATCTGAGTACCAAATTAGAGTTTGTAGGCAAAGTTTCACTCTTGCCCTGAATTTAAGCGGATGTTTATAGCAGTTCTCTTCACTGAGTTAAGAGGTAGCCTGGCAAGTGAAGCTTAGTTCAGTGCTTGGGTGACAAAGTACTTACCAGAACAAAAAGATCAACTCTTCTGCATCCAGTATAGTGACAAAAGCTGTTTACCTTTAAAGCTTCCACTTGCTGACACAGCTTTTGAAGGAAGGACTTGTGATCTTCTCCCACTGAAGGAGAGTCTGAGCAAAGAAAATAAGAAAAGCTTACTGAACTTGGATTTTCTTACACAAAAGGAACACTTCCCTAAAAGAGTAACCGGCTAATAGAGCTGGTAGGTGTTAGTTGGTGAGAAAGAGAACTTCTTGGGTGATGGAACTGCATCTTTCACTTCCACGTGCGCAGCTCGTGAGATGTTTCTGGAGGCAAGACTTCCCTCCTCACCGTTCTCCCCAGGCTCCCGGATCACTGCCTCCAGCATTTCCGTCACAGCTCTAACAGATACCGGCAGCTAGAAATGGATTGGAAACGCAAGTCGTGATGGCAATTCTTCCTCAGAGCAAGAGACTGCGTCCTGATCGACGGCGGCACAGCGCACACGGCTTTCTGCAGAAACTCGGGGTGTTTTTGCTGTTGTTTTCCCCCAGGAAAGCCCCACACCTGTTAACATTAACTAAGAGGACCATTCACACAAGCATTGATTCTTGTACTGACTTGGGCAGCTACTGACGGGTCAGAGGAGCTTTCCTCAGTGATCTTCATCAGGCAGTGCTGCCTTTCAACAAGACAGGCTCTGCGTTCTTCTTGTTCCTCTGGTAGCACACCATCACTCTCAACCTCCTCTGCCTTTCTTTGACCAAGCTAAGTAACAGCACATCGATCAGGAAGAACTGGTCAGAACGCAAGTGACAGAAAAGCATTCTGAGGTAATGCAATTTACAGACTTACAGTGCATAGGTTCCAGTGCGAAACCGCAGTGTTAACAGCTTCAAAGGCTAATAAAGCATCATCAGTTTTGCCTTCAGCTGCACCCAGCGTTGCAAAAGCCACACGTGCCTCTTCTTCACAGGCTGCAACCTGGAGGACCTACAACCAAAGCCACAGACAAGTCACACACAACACAGTGTGGACACCTGGAACAGTCGGTGTAAGACTGTAAGCATCTAGTAAGTAGGCAGATAGGAGGAGGTTCAGACTATGCCTGCTTTCCCTGCATGACAGGAAAGCAGCTTTTCAGAAAGCTGGTGCTAAGGCAGTTCAGTGTCCTCCAACCAGAGAGTTTTAAAACTCCGAGGAGTTCAACAGAAAGATCCTACCAAACCTCAGCATTAGCAGCACAGCGACAAAAAAATAAGACAACCACCACCCATCAACACACAAAGCCAACCAAAACAAAACACCAACCAACCAACCAACCATTGGCATGCAAGCCCGCGACGTACAACCCCTCCTACTCTCCTCTTTGAATATCCGTCAGTACCTGGATGTCCACACTGTGGAAATGCTTGAAGAGAGCATCAGCAGGTTCAGGAATACTTCTGTGCTTTTTGATAGTTTTCAAGCTAAGCAGAATTTCCTTCCAGTAGCAGACGCTTCTTCCCATAGATTCTTTCTGGTCGCACAAGTTCAGGCTAACGCCCTGTTGAAGAAGAGAAATTCAAACTGTCAAAGAAAATTCCAATAAAATGTCATTCTTACTTTTTCTTCTCTGATGCAGTTGTTTTCTCGAGAAGTTTCAAGAGCTTTTCTCTGACACTTGGGACGTATTTCAGAAGGTCTCTCTATAGTCACAGAAGGTAACACGGGGAGAAAACAACGTTGCTTTTACCTGTGCTGTTCAGAGCAGTGAGGTAGAGAGTACTTGTCAGGCAAGGTGGTTGCTCCAGTCATGCCACCAAAATCAGCAGCACTTCTCAGTACTACATTCTCATCTGATTTTATTTAGCCTGTTACGTTTGCAAATCAGAGAAAAACAGACGGTACTTATTTACAGGCAATCTTAACTTACTGTTGCTTGCAGGCTTCTTGCCCAGTGTATAATTAAGGCAGGTGAAGGCCGTGTCTCTCTAGGGCTCACACAGTACTCCATCCATGCTGTACAAGAAGCTTCAGCTTGGCTGCCGAGTCTGGCCTGAATGTCAACAGAAACATTCCTCAGTTAGCATTCCCTCTTTTCCATCTGCTCACACATCATTTGTGTGATGAACACAACAAGCAGCTTTAGTCCTAAGCCAGCACTTCTTTACAAATGCAATATCAGAAACGTAAAGCCCGTTTTTACAAAGCTCTTCACCATCTCACACCCCTGCAGCAAAAAACCTTGAACGTTCAAACAAAAGGAACTGGTTTTATGCAGCCCACGGCAATCAATTCAGAAGCCCTCTAGAAGGTTGCTTCCAATATTTCCCAACTGAAGCATTCCTACGTTGTTTTTTTCTGCATGAGAGTACACACAGCATCCCACCAGGACCTTTGCTTCTCAGTACAGTTCTGCTTGCACAGCAGCAACGGCAAGCAAGGAGGTTGATGTGTGCCACGCTGAGTGCTGAGCTTCTCTTGCAGTTCTAAGTTGCCAGTGAACACCATCCCGAGTAAAAAATCCTGCTTTGGTAAAAACAAACAGAAGGAATTAGGGACCAAAAAACCGGCATTTAAATGCATTTAACAACTTGGGAAGCTTGCTTACTTCAAGGACCAACAGGCAAACGGATTCAGGAGCATCTGTTTCCAGTCTCGATGTCTCGTGGGGCGAGTGAAAAAGTTGTAACGATCTGCGCAGTGGGAATAACACTGACACAGAATTCCACTGCAAGCCAAGCCACGCGAGGTGCTGGAGACCACAGCTGTGCATCCAAACAGCACCTGTGCAACAACAAGGGTTGTGAGAAGCCAGGGTCTGCGTCCGAGTCAGGAAGACCTGCCTCTGATCAGAGCTGGGTTTCACTGCAAGAGGAGCGAGCTCTGAACGTTTCTCCCAGCAAAGCACTTCCCACCAACCTCCTCCCACCTGCTCGCCTCTGTCTAACAAGCTGCTACCAAGAAGTTCCAAGTAAGATGCCGCCTTCTTCAAGTGACTTCTGCACCTGTTCACACTGCACAAATAACTCCTGCAGAAGCAACAGCTACTTCACAGAAGGGCGCAACCAAAGTGCACTGGCACTTGTCAGTGGTTTTGACAAAGCACAGAATGGAGATAACATCACACTTCTCCAACAAGGAAAATCTTTGGCCTACGAGCAAGAAGCACAAACCGTTTTGTAAGTTGTGCGTTATGTATTTAAAACATGATGAACAAACTTCTTCAGAGAGGCCGCAGTAGCATAAACTTCTGTTTCATATATAAAACAGATGCACAAATATAACACACATACAAAGAGAAAGGGCCATAAGCCTCCTTGCTTTGCACCCTGAATAGTCTACCTGTTTCCGACCACTAAGAGCCAAGTAGGAGGCCACCAGCATTCTACTCTTGTTACGCTCAAATTCAAAGCCAGACTTCACCTTCAAGTTAAGCTTAAAAAACGGGAAGACCTCATTAGTTCACAACTCATCCTGGAATCATTTCGCTTTCATGCCTCTAACCTGTGTTCACAGATTACACATAAATAAGTACGGGCCTTCCTGTCAGCACTTACCAGCGTACAAGCACACAAAGCTCAACAGGCAGCTTCAACTGGAAATGAATCAGAACAGACCAGAAGACAACAGTGTGGAAGCAGGAAGTATGTGAGAAATTCTTCAGAACCTGGCACGATGACGCTGCCTCTCCGCCGCAGCTGAAGGTGGAACTTCTTGCAAAGCAGCCTCTCATTAGGGGAAAGATGAACAGCTGTGACAGACACTGGTCTGCTGCTGCAAATGAAGCACTTGGAGAAGAACCTCTGATACAGAGTCACGTGTATGCGGAGTGTAAGCAGCACCTCTCACCAATATCGTGTTCAGCAAGTTCTCCTTGCTCTGGTGCCTGGGGACTGACATCTCCCACAGCCTCTGTGCCGAGAAAAGATCTCTCTTTAGAAGCTCCACTCCCAACGAGGCTTTCAAACAATGTAAATAAACCACTTTTGTTTGCAAAAGATTCCACAATCGCTTTCAAGAAGTCTTCCTTGCCGTGGCTTCAGTTCAGCAGCCTATGACCTAGAAAAACATGGTGTCACATCAGAACACTCAAACAAGGACAACAGTGTTTGATGCAGTGGGTTGTTCCTGCTGCTTCCGGCTGGGAAGCAAGATTTCCCTTCAGATATTTGCAAATTCCTTACTTACACTCTCCCTGTAATTAAGCCACTCTTCTAGCATATGGGCTGACAGCAGTCCCAAGGCATTTTCAAATCCAGTTCTCCAGAGTTACTGTGAATTTTTATTATAAGGGCGCTGCAATTGTCCTCAAAATAAGTAGCTGTCAGTCTCACCTATTCAGGAACAATTCAGCCCGATGCCCGGTGTTTTCTTGGTTTTCATCTACAGCCCATAGGACAGTGAAGACTGAAAATGACTGCCTCAGCTTTACCATAATAAAAAAGAAAAAGAAAGAAAGAAAAAAAGAAAGGAAAAAAAGCAGCAAACCTGTTGGAACAAAGAAGGGAACAGAAGTGACAGGAAAAGAGCAGTATTTTCTTTTACACTTGGGACGAGCAGTGCTTACAAATAGTGTATTAGTAGGCAGAAACCAGCAGACCAGGAGACACTGGAAGTCAAATTCTATCTTAACGTCCTGCAGACACAAAGAAAAAGCCCAGTACGTGTCAGGATCAAACCGCTGCTTGCAATTCATACGCAGCCAAAATGCAGAACGTTTCATGGTGTGTTCCAAGACGCCAAGCGTGCTCTTTAACAAGCCTTTAACTCTGACATGAGCTGCTCATAAGATTAAAGCAGAACTACGGAACATCTGTAATTACTGGTTTCATTACCACACTGGCTTTTTCGGTCGCAGGCCAACATTTCCAGCACATCTTGCCCAGCCCCATCTCCTCTTATTAGTTTTGACTTTGGTTTAGGAATCTGGCGAGCAAAGAAAAGAATTGCTACAGCTTCTTGACAACAAAAAGCAAATCTCTTCATTTAGTCTTACAAGTTAGGAAACAAGCTTGTTTCTTTTCAGGAAAGGACACGAGGTGAGAAACTGAACGATTGCAAACAGCTGTAAGAGCGCACAAGAGAAAGCGATGTTCTGAGCGCAAGCACTTGTGCAAAAGGAAAACTGATTGCATTCCATAAAGCACAGAATTCAGCTTCATCAAGCTCTGCTGTCTATGCAAGAAGTGTGCGAGAGCTACTCGGGTCATTCCCCTCCCTCCCGTATCAATAACCTTAATGTCAGTTAATGCGGCTGCATTACAGAGAAGGGAACAGCCTACAGCAAATACACTCGTTAGCCCTTCAGAGTCGTTGCACTGCTGACAAGTGAAACAGCTGAGATTTTCTTCACCCCACTTGAAATCTTTCCAACAAGTACGGAAGAGTAAGATTTGGCGAGGAGACAGCCTTAAAAACAGCAGCTAGTTTTTGGAACGCAGGCGTTCAGTGCGTGCACAGCGAGAGCACTCAACTGCAACCACTGCAGGCACAAACGGAACAGGGACCGACACGGAAAGCGTTCAGGTACCACCAGGCTGCGAGTTCACACGCATCTCTCCATCGTGCCGCGCTGCTCTGCGCTGTTTCCAGCAGGAAAGTTCCAGCACGCACGTAGAAGCGTCCCGCTCCGCACAGCGCCGGCCTCGCGACCGCCGCCTGCAGCGCGACGTCAAGGCGCCCGCGGAGCCGCTCGTCTCCAGCGAGTTCCCCAGCGCCATCGCCGGGCCGCGCCGCCCGCCCGGACGCCCCGCTCCCCCACCTGCCGGCGGCCGCCAGCCCGCGCTCGCCGCTCTCCAGGAAGGCCCGCACGGAGCGGAGCGGGGCCGGGGCGGCGCGGGCTCGGCCTCGCTGAGGTCCCCCACGTCCCCGCAGCCGGAGCCCCGGAAGCGGAGCGGGCGCACGACGACAGGCATCGCCGCGGGCAGCCGGGCGGAGCCGCGCGGTGAGGACGCGATGACCGAGCGCAAAGGACCCCGCCCGGACTGCCCGCCCCGTTCGGCGGACTGACCAATGGGAGAGGCGAGGGGGCGGGGCCGAGCGCGGGCGCCCCGCCAACGGCGGCTGCCGACGCGAGGCCGCCGCGACGGCGATGGGGCCGGCGGGATGGCGGAGCCGCGGGGCTCCGCGCGGAGAAAGCGGCGCTCCGCCGCCCCGTGCCTCGGGGACGCCGGGCGGTCAGGGGAAGGCACCGCCGCCGGCCCCGTCCGTCCCCCGTCGGAATCCAGCTGTTCTCGGAGGCGGAACCGAGCCGTCCTCCGTCGTTGCGGCGAGGCGCCGTCCCCGCTGAGTGACGTCATCAGCCCCGCGACCCGAGCAGGGGGCGGCCGTGCGGAGCAGCCGGGCCTCCGAGAGCCGCCTCGGCTTCTGCAGGCGGCTGTTCGGGGGGCACCGGGGCGGGGGCCGGGCTTCAGGTGCTGCAGGGGCCGCGTGCCGCTCTGCGTTGGCCTCGTGACGTCGCTGCGGTGCTCGGGGTTCCGCTCGGCGGGGGCGGCTGCCCTGCGTCTCCCCGCCTCCCCCACCCCGTGCGTTTCACTGCCCTCCTCCCCTCCCCCTGCCACGGATCGCCCGCAACCCCCCCCGTCCCTCTGTGTGACCCCCGGGGTTGCGCCTCCCTCCCCCTTCTTCCCCCTTCGTTTCCCCCGTTCTGATCCCTGTCGTTCTCTTCCGGGCCTCCCCTCTGCGCCTCCCCCATTCTGACCCCCAGGCTCCACCTATCTGTCCCCCCGCCCTCCCGCTCCCTCCCCTGTCCCCCGTTCTGATCTCTAATGTCCCTCCACCCCGTCACGAGTCTCCCCATTCTGTGCCCTACAGTCCCCCCACTTTCCCAGTCCCCTCTATCTGACCCCCAGAATCCCCTCTCCTCCTCCCGGGTACCCCCGCTCCATTTCCCCCATTCTGATCCTTAGAGTCTGCCATCACCCCCCATTACCTTCTCTTTGACCCCCAGGGTCCCGTGTCCTCCTTGCTCCCTCCGCCTTCTGACCCCTTTTTCTGACCTCTGGAGTCCCCTGTGCTCCTCCCTGACCCCTGGAGTCAGTTCCCCCATTTTGACCTCCATTCCCCCCCAACCGGACTCCTTTTCTGCCCAATAGAAGCCCCCCACAACCCCTGGCTCTCTCCTCCCACCCCTTCCTCCCTCCAGCCCCAGATGCGCTTTCTGCCTTGCAGAGGCTCTGTTCACCCTTTTCCCTTCCACAACCCACTAAATTCCCCTCCAACTCTTTTTCAACCCCAGAGGCACCCCACTCCCCTCTTCTCCCCCAGATACTCCCCTGAGGTCTACCCCAGACTCCCACCCCATAGAAGCCCCCCACAACCTCCTCACCACTCCTAGACCCCCTTTCCTCCCTGTAGAGACCCCACTCCTTTTTTTTTCCCCCTCACAATCCTCCATCCACTCCCAGACCTGCCCTTTCTGCCCTACAAAAACCCCTTTTCCCCCTTTCAACTCCTCAAGTTGCCCTCCACAATATTCCCCTCCACAATGTACCCCTCCACCCCCAGACCCTCCTTTCCACTCACAGAAGCCTCTTTCTCCTCTTTTCCCCCTCACAATCTCCTCCCCACCCCCAGGTCCCCTTTCCACATCACAGGGCTTCTAGCCCACCACAATCCTCCAGTTTCCCTCTTCCACCCTTTCTCCACCTCCAGACCCTCTTTCCAGCTCACAGAAGCCCCACTCACACCTTTCCCCCCGTAGATTCCCCACAACCCCCTGTCCACCCCCAGACTTTCTTTCCACCTCTAGAATCAGAATCATAGAATCACCAAGGTTGGAAAAGACCTAAAAGATCACCCAGTGAGGAAGACTGTGAAGCAAAACAGACCTGGCTGGCCTGAAAGGGTCAAACAGGGAACACGCGGCCCCTCCTGAAAGGGAAGGACTGCCATGTGAAACTGGCAAGCATAAGCTACAGCTTCTTCGTTCCGTGACCAAGAGCAGAACGTGTTCTGTGGAGAGAACGCCTTTGGATCTCTGTACTGACCATAATCCACAAAGAGCTGATTAAGTAATGACGTATTGCTGTCAGCTGCATGAATGCTATCTGATTGAAGTATTGTACACTCCTGTAGCTAAAAGATATAAAAGCCCTGTAACAACAATAAACTTTGCTTCTTGCGCCACCAGAGCCTCAGCCCGTCTGTCCCAGGCGTCTTGAGCTGCTCTCCGTCATCTGGTGCCGAAACCCGGGAATCTCGGACTCCAGTGACAAAGGCGTCGCTTCCTCCCACGAGCCGCGGTTGGTGAGTTGAAATAGGGAGGTAAGGACTGGGGCATTGGACAGATTGTTAGATAAAATGGGACAAGCTGCAAGTACTGAACGAGGCCTTTTTTCTGCAGTGCTGAAATCATTATTCGTTGCCTGAGGAGTAAAAGTGACTCGGGGTCAGATTAGTCGTTCTTCAGATTTTATAGAGGAAGAATGCCCCTGGTTTCCCAGGGATGGAACTATTAATATGGAAACGTGGAACAAAGTAGGTGAAGGACTCCAGGGCTGTTATGCTGTGCATGGTCCTGAGAAGGTGCCTATGGATACCTTTACGCTTTGGACTCTAATAAAAGAATGTCTCAGAGGAGACACAGGAGATGAGAAGTGGCAGCGGACCACTCGCTCAGCAGAAAAGTTATATCCTGCCTTGCCGCCATCAAAATCTCCATCACATCCCTTCGTCCATCGGCACCCCCACCCTCCCCTCCCCAATATGAGCAACCTTTGGTTTGTAAATTAGCAAAGGACTGGCCGCCTTGTAAACCTCCTGGCACTAACATGACAAAGGATATTTTACCCCCCGATGATTGGGGAGAGTTAGAAAAAGAGGCTGCTGAATCTCACCATAAGGACTCAGCGGCTGTATTCCCAGCGTTACAGGCTGCTGATGCCGCTGTGCAGACACAACAGACAGTCCATCAGCTCCATCACATCCCCTTGCTGTTCTGCCTGCCTTTCGAGCAGGGCGAATGCCTCCCCCGCCTGGAGCAGATGCTGTGCTTATGCAACAATCTCCTATGCAATTGGCTTTGAAAGAAGCTAGGAAAGCTGAGGAAACAACAGATGAATTTTCTGGGCAACTTTTTCCGTCTCAAGTTTTCCCTGGCATACAGCATCAACTTGCAAACGGTGGCATTCTGAATGATTATGAGCCTATTCCTTTTAAACAACTGAAAGAGCTTAAAGCTGCTCATATTCTTCCCCCTTCTGACTGGAAAAGCTTGGCGAAGGCTGTGTTAAGTGGAGGTGAATATTTGCTTTGGACTTGCGAATATGCGGAACGGTTCTTCTTGTGCCCCTTTATTACCAGTTCCTCATTTTGGAGTGAACCCCAGGGGATCAATGCCTAATGATCTGTGGCAGATGGATGTCACACATGTACCTTCCTTTGGAAAATCTTCTTATGCCCATGTAACAGTTGACACTTTCTCTCACTTTGCAGTAGCCTCAGCCTTGTCTGGTGAAAAACTCTCTCATGTATGCAACCATCTTTTGCATTGTTGTAGCGTTATGGGAGCACCGGAATCATTAAGAACCGATCACGGGCAGCTTATGGAAGTAGTGGTTTTGCAACCTTTTGTCGACAAAATTCACCATGAAACTGGAATTCCACATCATCCAGAAGGCCAAGGCATAGCAGAAAAATGGAATCATTTACTGACAACTCAACGAAAGAAAATAAAAAGGGACATGGGGAATTAAAGATACTCCGTCCTCTATGTTATCACATGCATTATTTGTTTTACATTTTTTGACACTGGATGATGACGGAAAATCGGCTGCGGATGGACATTGGAGTAATAAAACAAGAGATGAACCAATGGCATACTGGAGAGATCCAATGGACGGTAAAACTTATGGTCCTGATCCTGTACTGATGTGGGGCAGAGGATACGTTTGTGTTTTCCCTACAGACGAAACCTCACCACGGTGGATACCGGAGAGAGACGTCCGACATGCCGGAAACCAAGGTGGGAAAACTGCGGAGGAAGATGCAGAGACTGACTGTAACCCAGACCTGGGAAAGAAAGATGCACGAGAGAATACGACTCGTGGCCCTAATCCTCAGGACCTTGTGGATCTCACATCACGGATGTAAAGCTGAAACATACTGGGCCTTTGTACCCAATCCTCCTATCATCCACCCGGTTCCTTGGGATGAACCCGTGCACATTCCGGTGTGCAGCAATCAAACAATGTTTATGGGGCAATATTCAGATGGACACATAATAGAGTTCTCTGCGCGTTTTAATTATTCTGGAAAGGTTGATGGTATGCCTGTATGTTTTCAGAGGAATCAAACACAATCCCTGTGTGAGAGAGTGGTAGTGCAGCAAGACTGGGATACCAATGTTTCAACAGGAATTCATTGGGCTCTGAATGTTCTCTATCTAGATTTAGCTAATGGGACAAGAGGTTCTGGAACGCCTCCCTTAAATTTTCCTTCATGTCAAAGCACCATCACTCCAAAAACAGAATTTGCACCTTTATGGAGAGCATGTCGAGCTAACGAAACGGTGTGCATTGATTCCACTATCTGGGGTTGGAATATGATAGGAAATCAAGGGCGACCAATTGATTTGGTCTCAGGAATTTGGACAAAAAACAATCCTACGTTCTATTCTAATTTATGGAAAGCAGTCGCAGCTATGGACAAAATCAAAGCAAAACGATTAAACTTGACTTGGATTCAATAAATAATAAATGGGCAATGACTGCAGAGTTACACAACTGAGTTTTATATGCGAGCTTGTGCTCCAGAACCTCCTGCCTTTTTAAGCGGACCGCTAAATATTGTAAGTAACATAGTAAACTGTACCGACTGTATAATCTCTAATTGTCTTAATAGCAGCAGTAGTTCCTTCTTGTTAGTGAAGCAACCCGATTGCGTCTATCTTCCTGTAAATTTGACACATTATTGGTATGCTGACAAGGGAATGGAAATCCTCCAAGAAGCTGCTTTGCCATTAATAGAGAGATCCAAGCGAATGGTCGGATCAATAATAGCCGGAATAGCTGCGCTCAGTGCTGCCATAGCAGTAACTACAGTCGCTTCTATTTCTTTAACAACTCGTATTCAGACAGCAGCTTATGTTAATGAGTTATCAATTAATGTATCTAAAGCGTTACAAAATCAAGCTACATGGGATGAAAAGATTGAACTGCGTCTCAACTCCTTCAAGGATACAGCAGACATCCTGGGAAGACAGTTACAAATGGTAGCTGCTCGTGAATCTCTCTTATGTCACGCAGAATACCGAGCTGTGTGACTCCTGTTGAATGCAACAATACCAAATTCTCTTGGA